AGACGGATTGGTGCTGTGGCCGCAGTGATGCGGAAATGGGCTTCCTCTGAAGGTCGGCTGGCCTCTCCCTTAAAGGCTTAGAGGCTCAGAGTAGAGCCGCTGGCTCACCCCCTTGGCGCTTCCTGGGTGAGGTTTTCCGGGCATGTCCCACCGGGAGGAGGCTGGATGCATGGATGGATGGATGCATGGATGCATGGATGGATGGAATTGAGCAGACAAAACTTCCAGCATCATCCCCTGAGCCGATGCAGATTCATGACTGAACTTTCCTCCACCTTCTCCTTTAGCCCGCTCTAACCTTATTTTCTTCTGTTTGCTAGTTTGTGCTGGTGGCTGGCGGCTGTGTTTTCCATTTTCACAGCACACTTTCAGTCCTGACACTTTGTTTGAGCTGACAGCTGTTGCACTTGGGGCCACGCCTCCAAGTGCAACAGCTTGTTAATGTCTGACAACATTTGCAGATTTACATTTGTGCAGGTATTCGTCTTAGAAATTGTTGTTCGTTAAATTGCTCAGTTGGTCTGTTTTTGCTTGCTCTTTTTCAGATGCTAGTTAACACCTCCTCCCCGCCTCTTTGGGAGCTTATAAGGAGGCTTCCTTCCAAGATGATGCTCTCTCCTTTTCATGGCACCGATATTTGTTTTCTTACTCTTTTCCAGCTTTGCTTGTTTTGCAGCTATCTCTAATTTACGGCACACGTTGGTTATAGGTTAGCAGCTAGTTTTCTTTTGTTATCCCTTTTTGTGCATCTGTCTTCTTTGTTGTGTCCTGAATAAACCGGGTGTAATAAGGCGTTTCCATAGGTGTTTTTTTCCACAACACTGAGTAATTGAGCAGCCGATTTGATAATTTTAGCCGAGGACTGTGTACGATTCCTTTTTCTCGTATAAAATAGTTTCAAAGAACTCTTAATAATCCAAAGATGAACTCTAAGCTGATCATTGGCGACCTGGTGGATGTCCAGAGATTAAGCACCTGTATTCTTTTCAGTGTTATTAGTATTTGTTAGATACCAAGCATTCGCAGGTTTATACATTCTGTGTCAGCTCAGGTTTTTAGAGTTTCAGCTCGAGTTTGTCCAGCACAGGTTTTTCATCTGCTCACCATTAATGCTGTTGCCTCCGATTCATCTTTCCTCATAAAGCTGAGGTTGATTACAGTGTTGGTGGGTCAGCAGCATCAATGTGAGTCATAAAAACCACAGGGACCTCTGGCCTACATAACTCTGACCTGAAAAAACAACTGCAAGGGCAAAGAGAAACAGCTGGAAGGGCGTGTGTGAGTGTAACTGCCAGGGAAGAAGAAGAAGAAGCCCTGTTGATGATTTCAGACACATTCATAAGGATGCAGGCCCACTCTGTAACTCTCTGTTTAGATGTTTTCATGAGGCGTGTCTGTGCAATCACACAGATTCCTCTTTCTGTATGATTACAAGTTCAAATGCAGTTCATCAAACTGACTGTTTAGTAAGCAGCACATGGTTCGTGTGACCCTGACTACTGCAGGGCGTGTGTGCTGCCAATGATGAGCAATCAAGAAAGCATTTATGGTGAGGAAAGTCCTTCTAGCAGCAAACCTTGTCGCTTGGCAGGTATTCACAGCCTCTATATAAATGAATGAAAACAACATTAAATTCTTCGACGTAAAAAGCAGTATGAGGAGAATCTGATAACACCATGTAACAAAATAAACATGAAATTAAATTTAAAAAACCCTTCCTCTTATTTCAAAATAAAAAATTAAATCACTTTAATTTAATGCTTTTTTAATGCTGTGAAAATACGGCATTTTTATTTTATTTTGAAATTGGATTGCCTTGGAGTTCTTTAAATATTTAAGCCCATATGTATCCCCTCCAACAAACACCTCAGACATAAGAGCTCCTTTGCAAAAACAATTCAAAACATAAATTCTGATTTTGAACTAAGAAGCATCACTTCCCCTGAAAGGAATCCTCCTGTGAATCTTTGCTGTAAAATTACATAAAATTCAGAGTTTTATTAGAGTAACTGTGTCTCTGCTCATCACTAAGTGAAAAATTCCACTTACCTGCAAGTTTATGATGGAAATGAGTAGAGAGACATGCCTGTCACAACATGGCTACATCTATGAGTGAAAGCTGATATGTTTCCTGTTTCAGGTATTGATTATCTCTCCCACAGATTTCTATCCCTGTTTCTTTGCGTGTCGCGTCTTTCTCTTTTATTATTTCTCTGTCATTGAGTGAAAAGTCAGAATCTGTAGGCAAAAGTAAGACCACCAGGAGCTTTCTGATCTGTGTTTATAGTCGCGGGTAGTCCTAATTGTACTGGTCCGTCTCACATCTGATCAAGCCTTGGTTTAATGCAGGTATACAGTCTATGTGGAGACTGCAGATATGCCAAGAAGTAGTCAAAGCAAACATGTGGTGAGATTATCCAAACCACTGTATTTAAAGGTCACAAGCAAACACGGTAGGTGACTTAAGTCCTGCAATTCTTGTAAAGTAAAGTTTATTTATAAAGGACTTGATAAAGATCTAACAACAATTTAAAGACAATATTAAAAGAGAACAGAAAAAATAACAAAAGAACGTCTGATTAAACCGAAAGTCTTTAACGGTGAACCGATAGATTTGGAGCTCGTGAGCAAAGACAGCGAGCAGCAGTGTGTTTAACAAGAAGCTGAGATAAGTGTGAGAATTTTAAAATGAATTCTAAAATCGGAGCCAATGCAAAGAGAATAAAACTGGGGTGATGAATTTTGTTTTGCTTGGAGGCGTGACAGAGACCATTTATAATCTGGTAAAAAAGGGCGTTGCAACAATCTAGGCTTGATCATTTCTCTAGTTCAGAGGAGAAGATTAGCTCGCAATTTAGAAATGTGCCTTTTATTAAAAAAAAAATCACATATGATAGATTTAATGTATAAAACCTTTAAGTCCAGGGAAGAATCAAAGGTTCAAGGAAGAAGCTCCTTCTCTCCATTCAGGCTCTGCTGGGATGTTTGGTCACGTTCTTCCTGCCTTTCAGATCCTAATGCATTTAAACCCAAACAGCTCTCAGTGTCTTTTTAAGACTTTAAAGGGAATTATTGTGCACATTTCCAGCAGAATTTCATAATTTTATTCTTGGACTACACTCGGGTAGTCCACTCATATTACAGCCAACTAACCAAGCAGTTTTAGTTTCTTATCCTTTAGCCAAATCTCTTTGATGTCATGAAGGTTCTTCATCAAACTGTCAGAAACAGTGGATGCTACACTAGTTATGAGTTATTTATCTCATTTTAACTTCTTCTCCCACGTCTTTGTAATTGTTGGACAAAAACAATGTGAGGTGTAATAATCTGACTGACCTCGGTGGTTATTTAGGTTTTGTCTCCAGGAAGTGCTTTTTGCTCTTCTCTGTAACACTGGCTTGGGTTTCAGTGTTGGGGCTAAGATGAGAACATAAGACTTCAGAGGGTTACTGCAGTCTGAAACCTGAACTTTTGGCTCATGCGATTCACTTCTACTTACAGTGATCTCATTTCAAATTTTCACCATGTTTGTTATGGACACCGGCCGCTGAAACAGAATATACAGGACAGAAAAGCACTGTAGTTCCACTTTAAATATCCTCCTGAAACAAGCGACGGTGCAGCTGTCCGCCTTCCTGTCACACTCTCATCCTGTAGGATGATCTCAGTTGCTTCATATTTGAGCTTAAAGGTGAAGCTGTAGCTAACACCTGTCTGTTGAGTGTAAATAATTAAAATATTTTTCCACAGAACTCCACTAAAGTGAGGTTTAAATTACTATGTGGTATATTTTCATTACATTAGTACCACGATGTTCCTGCATTTCTGCATTTATAGAAATAAAATAACAATTGAGAGCAAAAGGAAACATTGATGATCTGAAAGGAAAAAGACCTTTCAAACAGAGCGGCTGTGCAAGCCACTTTGAACCCTACCTGGATTTGTGCAAATAAAGCAATTAAAAGTAGCATATCTACAGTAGTTTTTGGCTAGTCCTTCTTGCAAATTGATATATTTAATCACATAAAGGAGATAAAAAATAAGGCTGATAGATGGTTTTTATATCCTGAAAATGGTTAATTTTAGCTTGTTGCTATGTGGTTGCTAAGCATGTAGAATTGCACTTCTTGAGATGTTTTTGTCCAGAAATTAAACAAATAAGACATCTTTCATGGACGTTCAGTTTAGTTTGCTGTTAGGTGGTTGCCAGGTAACCACACAGCATCATAATACCTCAGTCATTAACTGAAGTTTTGCAGTGGTGGTGAAATAAAAATTATTCCACGCTTTTTTGAGGTGTTATAGGTTCATAACTGCTAAAAACAAGGCGATAGCTGGAAAATATCATAAGATTATAATACCTGACACATATGTGAACCTCCCAGGGCCCAGGATGTGCCAAGTTTGGCTGCTCAGCTCCTGATCATAGGAGGAATTTTGGTGTGTTATAGTAAGATAAATAAAGCAGCCTTACAGCTTTAAAAATAGTAGTTTCGGTTGAATTTAGATGTAAATCCAACTGCAGATCTGGCGTACTGTTAAACCAGCAGCAGTGTGGTGAAAGCAAATAGATCTTATTAAAAAAGGGCCATTGTTCATTTCCATATTAATGCTGTATTTTTAATCAGAGTGACAGAGCACCACTGAATGTGGGTAACAGAGTTGCAGGTTCCGAGCTCTGCTCGACTTCCTTGTCATGCTTGCAAATGAAAATGTGTTTGTGAAAAGCATTTGAGTCCAGAAATAAGCTGAGCACTCGCTGAATCTCTCTGTCGGATCAACAAAGGTTAGTTTAAAAAGGCTTTCCAAATGAGAGGCGGAGCTAAACTTAAAGGGTCACTAGTTAACTCGGTGCTGATACTTGTGTTTGAGCAAAGACCTCTTAGTGATACCCGGTATCAGCTCCATATGAACCATATGTACACACATGCTGACCGTTCTTTAACCACAAGCTGAGATAGTGAAGCAATCAAACTGCAGATTCAGACAAACACAGCCGCCAGCAGTAGAAAATCAACATTTATTCTACAGTTAGAGTTAGACAGGCAAAGAGGAGATATGGTCATACTTCATTTCTGATCCGAACAGCTCTTTTAGGCACAGGGACATACATTTAAAAATATCATATATTATAGCATATATTATTCTATGTAGCATAAAAGCTCTTTAACATAACAACGTAAGCACTTCATCATTGGCTGTACAAAAATACATTTAAATTTCTCTCTTTTTCTGCATATGGTTGGCGTGCGTATGTGTGTGTGTGCGTGTGTGTGTATGTGCAGTTTATTCTTGGAAATGCAGATGTTCTTAATGTCTTGCTTGCTTTGTATGGATGACTGTGTGTGTGTGTGTGTGTGTGTGTGTGTGTGTGTGTGTGTGTGTGTGTGGTCCTCTTCTTGCACTCGTGGTTCAGCCAAAGTCGATGCGTGGCCGGTACTCGAGTACCATGGGATATGTCTGAAGGAGACAGAAACAAGAGAAACTGTTTCAGAGAGACACGATCGATGGTTTGTTCTTTACACTGTAAACTTAAGCACACTTCAGAGGACGATGCACACTGCTGCTGCTGCTGCTGCTGAACGAACAGGAATCATCGCTGCGAGGAGCTGCTTTGTGCAGGTTCATCTAGTGAACGCACCTTTACAGAGCTTTGTAAAAGGTGCAGGAACAGCAGTCCCAACAATAACACATACTTTCACACTTGTTACAGGAATTAAATAAGAGGTGGTTTGAAACGCACACATGCACACACACCGCCTCTGAATGTAAAGCAGTTTCTATTAAACTGTCCCGGATCCACCTGGCTGTGCTCTGCAGCGATGGAGGAAGCCTGAAGCAGAAGAACATGGTTCAAATGCAGTGTGTACTTTTGTGTCTTTCATATCTGTCGCAGGAGCATCCATGGAATTTGTTCAGGTTTTAAAAACAACATCGGCGCTTTAGGAACAGCAGATTTTTCTGTGACTTAAAAAGTCAAAAATACAAAGTGATTGTTTTCAGCAAGGATGCAAACCTGCTTGGTCGAGGTGCCGAGCAAAGACGAAAAGAAAGAACATGATAGTGTGCATCATGATGTTACAGGAGAACTCAAATATTCAAATATCTGCAAACTGATGAAAAAATACTGCCAGCTCGCAGAATTTGAAACTCCTAGGTGACTTCCTTCTCGGGTTATCACATTCACGAGATTTTCTGAAAACTTGACCTCTGACCCTGAGGTCGGCGTCACTGAGAGTATTTGTAGATGCACCAGTGGTATCAACTTGAAAATCAATTATCACGCTCACAAAGTTGGGTAATCCCGCCTCCCGCCCCGAGCCTTTCAGGCCGAGGGGTAAAAATGACGAGCGTGCCCACCTGACAGGTGAACTTAAGACACTTTATATGAAAACTGTTGGCTCGTCCCAAAGACCCAGTTTTCATCGCCAGCAAAGATCCTCCAGAGAAATTGATGTGATGAAGAGAACTGATCGGCCTGTTAGAGGGAAAAAGTTGTCGTTCTGCAGCTCCTCAAAACATCAACATTTTACTAGAACTCACAACACTGCAGCACCAGAGAGGACTTCTATGCCACCGGCGAAATAAGCAGATTAGATCCAATAGGTTTTGTTCTCTATGTGCAAACGCATCAACGAGTAGCAATCTCTGCAGCTTTAATCCCAGCTGGCCTCAGGGAAGCTGACCTCTCAGCCTCTTTATGGGCTTCTGGTCCATGTGCTATCCCTCCATCACTGAGGTTAAATAAGAAAGTTGTCATTCCTGACAGATACATACATTCCTGCCTCTTTCAGATGATGTGAGCTACCCTTTTCATGAAACATTCAAAAAGGAAAAAGTGTTTGTGTCTGAGCAGCTGCAAAGCGAAGAGGGAGTCTCCTGATTCTGGAGTCTGTCTCCTATTTTTGGCAGCTCGAGGCTGCTGGTGCAGCAGAGTGCAGCTCCTGTCATCTCCCTCTGCATTTTGCTGTATCATGCCTCAAAAAAAAAAAGAACACTGCAGCCAATCTAACAGCTCTGTCAGTGTGCATCTGCATCTGCATCTCTGACACTCTTTCACTCAGCATTTCTGTCTCCATACAGTGCAATTACACTGCAGAAATACATACGCTGTGCTGAGTCTGCAAGGTTGTTCCAGCCCGCTCTCACAGCTAATCATGAAATCATCACAATATAAATCCATCAATCTACATGTTGATCGATAAATTGCTTTCAGACGGTTTCTCCAGTGAGAAGCTCCCACTTGATTTTCATACATTGTGCTTGAAGCTGATGGCAAGTCTGAAGATTCCTAATATTTAACATATTTAACATATCAACATATTTACCAGAAAGCTGTAATAATTTCATGTTATCTTGTTGTAGATATTTGTGTCTGAATGCAACCAGGGTGAAAAACCAGACAATATCCAGGATCCACATCATGTGTGGATCAAAGATAAGACCTTGTTAACCCAAAGACGGATGTTTGAGACCGACACTGTTATTTATTCATGACAAAGACTGTAAATGTAAAACTGACACTCAGACCTGGGGTCAGTCAAAGCTGTGTTCCACCGTACCATCCTGAAGCGTGTGAAGGTCATTCAGTGGAAACACCTGCCCTGCTCATCAGATTTGCCCCCCTGAGACTGAAATTCTGCTCTCAGACACACTGGAGAAGCTATCACATCACAGATCACAAAGGTTCGTTCTCAGAGCTGAACTTCCAGGAAACAAAGTGACAACTGCAGACCTTCAAATTAAGGTCAGCAAACCATATGGCAATAATCATTTGCTTTGCTAAATATTATAATCTTATTGTAACCTGATTACTCACTGGCATAGACACCATGACAGAACTTAACTCTTTTCCATCAGGGATTTCCTAAACCAGCCCAACGCCAACCTTAACTCTGACAGGACAAGCAGCGTCTCCACTGTCAGAGGCAGTGATCACCCTAAGCCGGGGGTGGCGAACTCCAGTCCTCGAGGGCCGGTGTCCTGAAACTTTCACACGTGTCCCTGCTGCAACACACCTGAATAAAATGAGTAGGTCATTACCGAGACTTGACTGCATGCTGAGGTGGCAACCCCCAACGCTACTCAAGTAAATATAAGCAAATGTAAGTGTTTGGAAAAATGTACTTCTAAAAGTACTTTTATTGCACCATGTTGATTATCTCATGAGCTGCTGTAACATGAATCAAATGGCTGAACTGCCATTGAGCTACTTGCTAATGAGCTACTAATTGTATTCAGGTGTGTTGCAGCAGGTTGCAGGACTTCGAGGGCTGGAGTTTGAACCTGTACCTCAGGCCACGGGTGTCAAACATAAGGCCCAGGGCTGAAGACAAGCTGGCGAAGACTCCAACCTGCACCAGTGGATGGCTTCGGAAAATGTGAAAGATGACAAATTTTGGACTTTTTACAGTATTTTTGCTTTCCTGCTGATACAGATCTTCCACATGACCATTCTTACTACAACAGAGTAACAGATTTCTATTACTTTTTATACATACACCACTTACAATTGAAGCCTAAAGAGTTGTGCTGATAGATGATTTTACTACAGCAATATTTCTTTATCATGTAGAAAACCTGAGACATGCTGAGAAACTTCTTTTCCTTATATTCCAGTCCAGCCCACATAAGATCAAAGTAGGCTGCATGTGGATGTAAAAGAAGTTTGGGCAATTAGGCAAAATAATCTTTAATAATCATTCTTTGTGGAAGATCTTTTATGGAGGAGGTGCAGTATGTAACAATAAGAACAGCAAGAAACAAAAGATAATTGTTTTATTGGGAGTATTTTGTTTTCATAATCTTTAAAATCAAATTGATAATTGGAATCTGAATATTTGCCCAGTTGGAGCTGAAGTGGGAAACGGCCCAGTTTCAATCTAGGATGGTTTTTGTTTTTTGGGTTCGTGAACTTCACGATTGCATCTAATGTGGCTTCAAATGGGATGAAACAAGTTTCTTTAAATAGTTTAGAAACTCTTTGATTTATAATGTGTCAGCCGACCACTCTACAGAGCTTCATCCCACATTAGGATCATGACACTCAAAGGAACTACACATGGTGAAACTCACATGTGCTGCCATCGAACTACAGTTGTTTCTGTGTTGCTCCTCACTGTACCACATGGACAGTGTATTAAATACTAAGTAATAATGCTGTGTCTATTTTTAGGACATTTTGGTCCGATGCCTTCTTGTAATTGAATATACCAGGAGATTTATTTCTGCACTACTGCCCAGTAGGGCGCCTCTGCAGTTTTATTTTAGGTGTAAGAGACTTTTCCAAGAATAAATTAAGTTCTTATCTCTGCTGTTCCGGTACAGATGCCTCCTCTGATCCAAGGTCTAAGACATCACAGGTGCTAACCCTAATCCTATATTTTGGAGAAGGCCCAAGATGACTCTTTTTTGTTAATAGCTTTTAATGTGTTTGTTAGAATGACTATTTTCTTTTCTCCAAGACTTTAGAGAACAATTTCATGAGAAAACAAGATGACAGATCCTCTGATTGCTCAGAATCGGAGTTACGGTTAGTGCTGGGTCATCACCGTCACCTCAGAGGGTTAATATCGTCCCACAACAACACAAAGTTGAGGCAGTCAGATTTCTTTCTGCTGTAAACTTTCTTTAGAGTCCAAACGGTGGGGGCTGAATAAGCTCAGCTTTTTCTGGATGCAGAAAACATGCATGAAGATGTTTGAGGAATACGTTTTGAGTTTCACACTTGAGTTCCATCATTCGGCCCAAATGCTTCCCTGCTTCTGAACGCACGGTGCCAGCTCTCGAAATGTGCTTTAACAAGGTGAATTGATTGCAGGAGAGATGGAACGTCTGCGTTGCAGCTTTAGTCTGTGACTCTACCCGACCCCAGAAACACATTTTGCGTTTGCTATTTTAAAAAAACGGCAAACACTTTTCTAAATATCAGAGCCAAATTCCAGATCTGGAGCAGCTGTGTTTAGTCATCATGACTCAGAGACTGGACGTCTGTTGTTTGGACACTTTATGTGGACAGTTCTTCGCCATCACCATCTGCCTCTCCCCGTCTTCTACTGTTAAGACTTTGATCACATCACACAACACACTGATTTTTGATTCTTGGCCAATTGTACACCACAGATGAGTTTTGGATACTTTTAGGTGCAGTTTAACATATTTTTCCAACTTTAAGATTCTAAGATTGGTAAATATGCAAAGTGCTTTAGATAAGCATGGTGCTTTTAATGGATTTAAAATCCGTTAATAAAGCGCTCTAATTCCTCATAGCGCGCTGTGGATAAAGATTAGCCGTTGATTAATAGTGTGTGACTTGGTGCCTTCATATAGTCCAATCTGACTCATTTAAACAGAAATGAACCAGAGTAAGCAGAGATTTTAGTGCTTAGCAACATAATTAAATACCATTCGTTAATAACAGACATCAGTGCGTGTACGTTAAGAGTATTTTTCGTAAAGGTTTTTCAGTCCTGTGTTTTTAAAAGTCACCATGGTGGCAGTCAGAAAGCGGTTTCCTGATTTAATGACATCCCGGGAGGTTACAGATTGATTTTCCTTTGCTCCCGTGTGAGCGGATCCGTCCTGACCGGCCTCTAAATCGGAGGGAGAAAATGAAGCCGAGCTGCAGAGTTGTCAGAAGGATGAGACTGATGAATGGCTCGTATCTTTTTTCTGTCCGACTTCTGCCTCCATTCCCGACTCTGGCGCTTTGTATCCATCTATCTCGCTCTCGCTGTCATCCCTCTCCTTAACCAGACAGAGTTCAAACAGGATTCAAAAATAATTTCTGGCTGTTTATCCTCATGACTCACCAGCGAGGGCATAAATAATTCTGACGGACAGACTTCTGTCTGTTGTTGTGGAGCATCGGGGCGGTGGGCGGAGGTGAGATAGAAAATGTGGCTCCTGATGTCATGTGAGAGGTTTTCCCTCAACATGTTTTCTTTTTACATTTGGCTTGAATGCTTTCAATTTCTGAGCGCTGACCTGGAGTCAGTGTGTATTCTGGGGATACTCCAAGTGTTTTATTTCACTGTGGAATATTTTGAGCTCCACGTCTAAATGTTTTCAAAGAGATTAAATAGTCTGATTAAACCACTGATTAAAGCTGAGCTAAAAAGGACAAAAAGTGATTTGATTAAAAATATGTATTTATGGATGGTAAGTCTATGAGAATTTAAACTGTAGTGTCCTCTTCCTTTTTCCACAGTTGCTTTGCCTCTCGTTGCTCTGTTTGTGTGTTTGTTTTATCAATCTTTAAAGTATCTTGATGCACGCTCAATCATCCAGGTAAGTAAATCTCCAAAAGTTGATTCTGTTCATCTGGACGTAGCGTTTTGTGGGAGAAACGTTTCATCCAAGTGACTTCTTCAGTGTCAGCTGACTGCAGGTTTCCCCAATCTTATAAACAGTACATTTGCATAATGACTGAAACCAGCCCACTGAGGAACAATGGGCTGGGAGGTCAGTTCCTTAATCTTAATTATGCAAATTCTCATGACCATTGATCAAAACCACTGATCAATGGCCATGAGTCCCATTCACAGAGAGTTGGGGAATGGCTGCAATCACAGCATTGTAAGATGGTGACAGATGTACCCTTAGACCCCCTCCTCGATTCAGAGATAGTCTTCCGCTGGCATCATCTCATCATCACCGATCCTTATATAAACTTTAACTCATTTCTCCATGTGCATGACTTCTGTCATGGGCCAACCAGCCTGCCTCTTGTCTTCCAGTTCCTTCGGTCTCCCTGCTTTGGACTGGCTTTCCAGATCCATTAACTCTATCAAATCCACACTTGGTCCCACTGCATCTAGCACTTTTACTCAGGACTCATGGGACGGACGACATTCACTTAGCTCTTGCTGCTGAAACGTTGCGTGCAGGTGGACATTTTTAAAGGGTGACGACATTTTAACCAAGCGGTGATCTTTTTCTAATCCTTCCAAGTGATTTTACTGCCTAAACCTGAGTGGGTTTAGTAAGAAGGTGTGAAGGAAATAAAAAAAAAGTTAATTGGAGAAATAATTTACGCTGCTGGCAAAGTACTCGTGCCTCTACATCCAGACTGTATCACACCTTATGACACATAGACACAAATCAATAAATATGAAAGCAAGAGAATGAAAAACGGTGTTCAGGTAAGTGAGGGAGAACTTCACGTCCATGAGCATGAACCTTTTCTTCTTTTGGCTGCTCCCTTATCGTGAGGATGAGTTATGAAACGAGTCCTGCCAAAGTACTCAAAACCACCTTTGTGGCAGTTCCTGTATCACCGAGGCCACATTTACTACACAGAGACTCACAGTGGAGACAGAGGGGAGACCACCAAGTGCTTTGTGATGATTGGTAAATAAGCACTGGAACAGGACTGACCGAAGAGATTAAGTATCCTCACTCTTATCTGTGGTTTCAAGATGTTTTCAGTAAAAGTTTACGTAACAGAAAAATCTTTTTTGTTCTACTTGCACTCTCCAAAGCAGCACTCTTTTAATGATTTGTTTAATTGTCCTAAATCCTGTAATAACCATGTGTTCATAATCTGTGCGGATAATTCGCCATATGTGAAAAAGGCCCAGATGGAAAAAGACGTGACCTGTAATTCTGACAATCTGTGCACAATAAAACAGTCTGTAACATTAGTAAAGAAGACGGATGTCCAATCAAGCTGGATTAATAGGTTCAAAAAAGCTGCGTTGCTGGAAAATAAAGCAGCAGAGACGCCATCTTCCTCAGGGTTGGCATGTGCTGAGTTTAGACTGGATCCGAATTCTGCTGGGACTCATTTAAAGTTGACTCAATGCAACTTTGGCCTGCGTAGCTTTCAGTGCGACACGATTATATAATGAGAAGGAAAAATAATTCTGTTTTCTTTTCCGTCCTCTCTGACTAGTCAGTGAAACAGATCCAAAAAAGACATTTTAGCTCAGCGGCAGGCGGACTTTGTAGAGGACATGATGACACTCAGCTGGAGCTGAAAAGCTACACGCTTACTAAGTTTGTCATTTCATACTGACTTCCTTCCTGCTGCCTTTCCTTCTCAGTTCCACCTGACCCGGTATCTGAAGCGTCTTGCTGTGCCAGCTGCCTGCACTCATTAGTTACCATCCAGAAATGGACGGGAGCTTTCAGTAGCAGTAGAAGTTCATGCAAATACTCACCCGTGCAAACAGATACACAGCCACTCATGCACAAGTCAGCACAATTACTGTAGATCAAAGGCAGACACACTGGCTCGCTGAACCGTCACAGGACTGATGGCCCTGAAGCCCAAGGCTGAGAGTACCAGCACGTTTCAGAGTGACAAGTCCTGCTTTGTTGTGTGTGGTGTGTGTGTGTGTGTGTGTGTGTGTGTGTGTGTGTTGTGTGTGTGTGTTGATGGTTCGTGTGTTGTGTTGATGTGTGTGTAGTCGTAGTGGGTACGATAGTCAAACGTTATAAGGCTTGGTAGTTTTTTTATGATGAAGTCATTTTTATGGAAGCATTTTAAAGCGTTCCTATTTTCAGACTAAATAGTCAAAAAAATCAATAAAACAAAGGCCTTAAACTTTGATTTTTTACATTTCCTGTAACTTTGCTGAACATATTTATGTTAAGCCAGGTATAATAATAAGATTTACTTTTGGAAATCACATGACTACTTTTTCCAGTTACTTATGTATGGCGTCTTCTTCATTGTTCTGTCAAATATACAACTGTGCAAAGTTTTAGGCAGGTGAGGAAAAAATGCTGTAAACAAAGAATGCTTTCAGAAATATAAATGATTGTTTATTGGCCTCAAATGTATTCTGCAGCAGGACAACGACCCCAAACACACAGCCAAAGTCATTAAGAACTATCTTCACCGTAAGGAAGAAAAGAACGAAGAGTAGAGTGATGGATCGGCCCCCACAGAGCCCTGAGTCTCAACATCATGGAGTGTGTCTGGGACTACATGAAGAGACAGAAGGATGTGAGGAAGCCTACATCCACAGAAGATCTGTGTTAGTTGCTCCGAGATGTTTGGAACAACCTACGAGCCGAGTTCCTTCAAAAACTGTGTGTGTAGCTAGAAGAAGGCAAAGGGTGGTCCCAGCAAGTATAGATTTGATTTAGATTTCTCGTTTGTTCTTTTACTGCATTTTGTTGATTGATGAAAATAAAAGATTAACATGTTTTTCTCACTTGCCTAAAACTTTTGCACAGTATAAATTTTGTTTTTATGAAATTCTTCTTCCACACATCAGAAACTTCTTTCCTTCCTTTTTGTCTTTCTCCAAAACATCAGAGGTTTGGCCTCACAGAGCTAATCTGCCTTTTTCAGCAATATTCACCTGGGAACTATGCAGAACCACAAATCAACTCTAATGCCTTTTAGTGGATCTAAACTGACACAAAGCTTTTCCTTTGACACTGCGCTGTTTACGTCTAATCAAATCAATCCAGCATTTATTAAATAAGTGAATTATGGCTTTTAGCCACATGTTAAATAAGCCAAATTTCAAAAAGCAGATGATGTTACCTGTGTTATCGACATTATACAAGTCGTGTTATTTTGCATGTCTTCTGTTATAAGAGCTGCATTTTGGTGAGCCCTAACCATAGAGAGGTCTCTGACATCCTGGTGGTAAGAACGTGACCTAAAAACAACCCCACTGTCTCCTCTTGTAGATATAAAAAAAGGCTGTGAAGAAGAAATATACCTTCTTATGCACAAAATAAATGTGGTGCACAGAATCTCTTTTATCATCAGTAATGCTTTTCCTGTTTTGACTGTCATTACTAAGCATCTGTTAAACATGCAGATATGACTGACTTCACTTTGCAAAGTGACCTTAACAAAAACCAAACAGGATGCAGAGTAACCCCGGGCCTCTAAGAGGAGATGGACGTGGTTCAAATTTAGCAAACCGAGGTAAAGATGAAATGTCAAAATGTTACATGAGAGGCCAATCTTTTATTCAAACCGGGCGTCTCTTGAACATCAGTATTCTGTACCAACACCATAAATTTATGTTGCAAAAAGTCTCGAGTTTCCTTTTTCACAATCTGACACCTTCTCTGAACAGAAATGCTCCTTTGGAAAAGCATTTCACACTGAATATACAAGTCATTCAACCAGGACCGCATGCTTTCACTAAAGTGCATGAATGCATAAGATTCACAGACGCACGCGTGCACACAAACATTTCCTGCAGCGATGCATCTACACACGAGGATGCAAACACTCACACATGAACAGGAAGTGAACGTGACAGCCTTACATTCTCTCCGTGTAGCCTCCATCGGGTCATGTAGATGAACTCGAGAGTGTGATCTCTGCCCATGATCTCTCCGTTACACAGAACATCCAGCTGCAAACACAAGAAGGAAAATACATAAGAAGGACGCTTTGACAAGTCCAAAACAAACACAAACAGCTTTTAACGAAGCGGTTGAAGTCACAAAGTTTTGCCCAAGCTGCCTCCCAGACAGAGAAGGTGACGAACGAAAACAAAAGCTGAGCTCTCACTTCTACGAGAGATGAAAGGAGAGGGGAAGTTCACTGTGGTGGTGAGTGGGAGGCTTCTCTGAATATGTGAGTGTGTAAATGAGAGTGTGAGTGTGTGATACCACTTTTAGCTCGGCCTGCTCCAAATGTGGAAGCTAACAGTTTCTTAATCCTTTGCTAAAGCTGGCAGATGATAGCATAGCTTGCATGGAATATTAATGAGCATCTGGCTACGAACTGTTAACCTGGTCAGAGTTTGGCTTCATATTTGACCACATGCTGTTTCTCTGCTGTTTTAATGCAATCCACTAAATCTTCATTATGTTGAACTGAACTCTCCAGCATTTTGCACTTTATATGTAACACAGTACAGCTGTTGGTTAAACAAGTCAGAGTTATGCTACCAAATACATGCATCATTTTCCTTTTTATACAATGGAATTTCAGCATGTTGCAACTTTAACTTTTGTGCCTGCACTGCATTTTTTAATGATATCCAACTGTATTTTTATACAGTACTGAATCACAACAACAGTCGCCTCAAGGCGCTTTTTATTTTAAGGTAGACCCTACAACAATACAGAGAAAACCTCAACAATCAGGTGACCCCCTATGAGCAAGAGCTTTGGTGACAGTGGGAAGGAAAAACTCCCTTTTAACAGGAAGAAACCTCCAGCAGATCCTCGTCAGAGACAGTCAGCCTCTGACAGTCATACTTCACACCCTGAATGTGTGACAACACCTGTACCGTCAGGTCCCACTAACTGTAGTAGAACTGTAGTAGTTCAGAACTAAAACAGATCTGTGATGTGGCCGGAAAGCACCGCATTTCAGCATTTCTTTGAATTACAGTGGGCTGAGAAGAAGACATCCATGACTCTATGCACCACAGATCCAAAGAGTGGACCCTAGTCTCTCAGAGGGAAGCCATTTTTGTGGTAACTCTTGTGTTTATGTGTACAAAGAAAAAATGAAAATGTGCGTGAAGACTGTTTGAGCAAAGTAATAATGTGAGGTACAGTTAGGACAGACATCTCCTAAAAGGTTCCCTTAGATAAAGAGGTCCCTACACTTTAGTCAGCCCTCCCAAAGTAGTGAAGAAAGTAACTTCATTACATTATGAAGTAAGTTTAACCCTGTAAATATTCAAAGTGGAGTGATTTTTGCAACTCTGGCCATAAAGAAAAAAAAACCCCATGATTTCATTTATTTTTTTCCAGGAAGCCAAATTAAGCCTCTAAAAGTGTCAGTTTGCCACTGTAACGTTTCTTTGCTCTGTTTGAGATCTATGGTGAAAGCTCAGAAACTCAAGTGCAGGTGGTCAGAAGGGGACTGAGCACTTGCAGGAGTGCTGAAGGTGCTCCAGAAGTGCACGGGGAGATGACCCTGAAGGGGAGACCAGTCAAACTCAAACTCAAGTATGATTTTTGCCTTTTATGGGCAGAGCTGCAGAGCTTTATGACCATCACTGCTCAACATCCAACAATCAAGCCCCACGAAGGTAATCCTACCGATCAACCGAAAACTTGAAAGATAACTCTGAGTTTGTGTGGTTAAGTAAAGAAAAACATGCCTTTGAATCATGACACACATATTTTAATGAATGAAAACAGGAGGACAGAGTGTGCTCCATACCTCGTAGGAACTCGGCAGCTTTAGTTTAAGACTGAGAAACTTCTTAATTGTTCCCACGGTGACTCTACTGGAGCAGCGGATGAACCTCTTCATCAAATCCTAATTGGATGAGAGAATAACTCTTACACACTGATTTAATGAGGCATAATTGCAGGTTTTTAAAGGAAAAGACATGAAAACACAATTACATCTTTACAGGGGATTATGCACCAAGCACCCGTGAAGTTTGGAAACATTACCAACACATACAGCAGCAAAGAAATGGAATACCCTTTAACATCATAGAGAGGACCAAAACAAGGTGATATTGTGTTTCAATGCAAGTATTTAATATTTAATATTTCTTAATTAAAGGTTATATGTAAAATAACACACACCGTGACCGTGCTCTCCCCCGACGGTCCTGTGTTGCGTAAGCAGTCCAGGCAGATTGCGATCTGTGGGTCACTCCTGTGATAGTCGTCATCGCCGGCACCGTCCGCCTCATTGCCTCCACCATCACCAGCGTCGCCTCCAGCATCGGGGACCCCGAACCGTGGACACCTCAGGTTTTCTACAGGCAGGTTAAGGATGTTAGTTGTGGATAAGCTGCATCGCTAAAACTCTGGGCCAGATGATCAACCACAATATTCAAGTCTAGCCTTTGATCGGTTTTCAACTGTTCCAGTTATTACTTGTTACATTCCCACATGGAAAAGATATATATAAATCTTATAAAGTTTGTATCTGTCTTGTGTGAAACTTGTATGAAAAGCACACAAGAGTTAAAACAGATATAAGATCCCTTGAAAAATTATATAAATGAAACTTGTATGTTTTGGATACTTCCTAAAACAATATATGAAAGTAATGAGAAAGGGGCCGCTTTCACGAGTAAATCATATAAGCCTTCTATGATTCACTATATGAATAGGCCACATCTTATGCAAGTCTTTTATAAGTTTTTACTATTTCTTTTCCATATGGGTTGTTTCTCTTTAACTTGAACCTGATGCATTGGTGCATTGGTCAATGTCTGTAAACACGAGCTCTGTTTGCACTGAAAAATGTGGTGAAGGGGGGTACGAAGTCTGACAAGAAAATTCCCTGCTGATGTATCAAAACTTGATAAAAAATTCCCCCCTTCTTTACAGAGCTTCTTCTCTAATAATGAAAGCAAGCGTGCAGACATTCTGAGTAAGATGCAACAACCACAACTGGCTTCCTTCCTCCATGGCATGGTTTTTTTTCCTTTTTGCCAGTTTTAAAGAAAAGGTGTGAGAGGCACAGAGGCGACGCAGCCACCCGTCCCCCTACATGGCAAATTCTTTACACTGCATATGACAGTGTTCCTATTTCAGTCATCTCCACCCACTCTAATACACGAGGTGAGAAATCTGTGACACAGTGGAAATCTCCTGTAATTTAATGGAATTCTAATGTGTTTTATTTGAAATGACAGCGTAATTATATTTACCTACTAATACTTACAGGTAGGTACAGTTCAAAAAGGGGGTAAGAAGTCAGGTTTTTATAAATAAAAAAACAAAGAAATAATTATACTGTAAGTCAATTTTAGTCACGTGTGTAAGTAATTTGAAGTAATGTGTCATTTTACATAAAGCATGATTAATTTTAAGTACAGCGTAATTGTAAGTAGTGTGTCATTTTGTGTAAAAACAAACAAAATTTCCCAGTCTTACATCATAGGCACACTGTACTTTTCAATATTTATATTTAATGAAATAAATAAGTAAATAATTATTCTAGAGTGCCTACTTTATGTATTTGTATAACTGCATTCAAATTTATAATAAAATTAATTTAATTACAGGGGAATTACACCCCTGGCTGCGGGCTTATTATGAAGTGTTACTGTTACTATATAAAGGGTTTTGTTGGGTCCAGCTTACCTTGGCCGTTTTCTTTGGGCTGGTTCTTCCTCCAGAACTCGAGCTCTTGCTGTTCCTCTTCTAATTGACAGGAAAAAACAAAAGTAGAATGAAGTATGAAGCAATCATAGAGACCAAATCCATCAGAAGAGGATGGGTGATTCTAACATCGCGGTTACTGAATTCTGTCTACGCTGTGTTAAGAGTCTGGGATCAAACAGCTACATTTCTCCTGTACTAAATTTAGACTTTTGTTTTTCATAAAACTGATTCACTGAAGCTCCTAGGAGGAGTTTAACTAAGCTTACAAAACTATTTTACTCGCACAATAAAAGCTTTTCATAGCAGACAGTTGGCCTTTAACAGCAGGAAAAGCGGGTGTAATTAATAACAATAACAATGGATTGGTTATTCCAGCCATTCCAGTGATACAAGGACCTCCTCCAAAAAACAATGCAGCCTCTTTTCTATGCATGCTTTGACATGTCAGAACGCCTGCTGTGAAAAAGGTCAATATGCTGTCTTGCCATAAGAGAAAATGAGCCACTTGCACCAATTTTAAAGCTGCTAGAGAGAAGAAAAGCTGGGAATGTATTTATTTTAAGTCTCTGCGTTTCTCCTGGACACATCAAACCGAGCCCTGCTGTGATGTGCTCATAACTGCTATAATTAAAGTTAGCTGTCAGCCTCAAAGGGCCATTTTATCACTCAACTGAAGCGTATTCTAACATCTCAAACACCCTTCATTAAGGACAATTTGCTATATTGGCTCTTCCCACACCGGGAGTTGAACCCAGGCCGCCTGGTACCAGACAGTGGTCACTGTTGTGTTATCACCAAAATTTACAGGCACCCTCATATTCATATCTCCTCAAAACAGCCTGGAAGTCTTCTTCTAATTCCCTTTTGACAGCCCATTTGTCGCCTCTTAATCTGACGTGACACCTTCACTTTTTACGCTGGCCAACAGACCAGTTTTGCTGCCTCTGGTTTAAATCCAGATCCAGCAGATCCAGATCTGCTTTGATGTCTGCTGAGCGTTCTGAACATTAGCCAGACAATGCACTCGGGCCACCAGGGTGAAGAGCAGGTAGCATAATTGGAGACACTGGTAAACTTCACTTGTGCTTACGTTGTATCGCTAAGTCTCGATGCTCTTTGTGACCTCTGGGATTTTTTTATGTCGAGTAGAATTTCCAGGCATGATTTCCAGCTTACTAGCAACAGGGACAACAAAACTCCTATCTTCTTCCTGTCTTTGTTGCACATTTAAGACGTCAGTGGGCCTGGAGACTTCATACTCAGAATCTCTTAACACCTAGACGGTAGTTCACCATCCGGATAGAACAGCATTGTAACGTAAAGCTCATTATTATTCACTGTGAACAGCAATGCTGTGCTTGTACCATCACCATCTACATGACAGATAAAAACCAAAACCCTTGTCTGCTGTCCACAGTCTTCTCTCTGTAGACCATACGAGAGGATTCATAGGACGCTGACTTTTACACCATTTGGCCGAGAGGCCCGAAAGCTACAAAAATATATGACGTTTGTTCCATCGTTCTGCTGCCAGAGTGCTCTATCAGCTGAGGTGAAGTTATGGAGCAATAAAATTATAGTGCCATCACCACTTTAGTTAGACATGTTGACTTGGCTTCCCGTTGGCCTTGCCACAGAGAGAAGGCTGTACATCTTCATCTAGTTTTAAACGTTTGAGCTTCCACCTCTCTGGAAATAATGTGATGCTGACAAATGATTGGTTTGTCCACATGCGACTGGCCGTAAAAGTGAACCTTAGGTCAAAAATGTCCAACTTTACAGCAGAAATGAACATGTTTACAGACTAAAGAGAATGAGTATTAGAGAAAAATCAAACTGAAAGGGGACAAAAGTATGCAAGATATGTCTAAAACAATGACAGCGATAATTGCTGCTGCAAATTAAATTCTGAAAAGTTACAGTTTTAGTCTTTTGGAAGCATTTCTGATGGTGTACTGTAACTCTTTCCTTTTTTAAACTGCTTTCAATCCACCAAGACGCAGCATCATGTTTGCTAGAGTGCATGCTGGAGGCAATTTGTGCATTTCATTAAAACTGGTTGCAAGCCTTAGTCTTCCAGTGATTTGTGTGATGGGAGTGCTGTAAATTCTTTTCCCGACCTCCCATGAATAGTCACATAATTTAACACCGACTGCAAACTGAGGCGACAGATTGATGAAACCATCTGGCAAACTCACTTTCTCTGAGTCCGGGTACCAGCTTGAAAATGATCTCCTCCAGGGTGTTGTCTAACCTGAGAATATGACAGTGAGAAGGAGGTGGAGGGGATGATGCATTGGAGGATAACAAGAAATTAAAGTAGGCAATAGAAGTTAAATGGTGGAGGTGAAGGGAGCGATCAGGTGAGGTCAAGCAGGAATAAAAGTTTCCAAAGGAGAGAATAGAAGAGAGAAAATCAGTAGCTCGGGCTGTTGAAATACACACAAAAGCAAAATGTAGAAAAGTACAATTGAATAATGGAAACACAACAAGAAGTTCAGAGAAGAATGAAACTCTTAAAACTGTCATTTCCAAAACTTTGCAGCTCTTTCAAGATTAAATAAAAAGAAATACAAAGTGTCCAACATGCGAATGACAGGAAAAAAAAACAGATAAAGTGAGAGAAGAAAAACATGTTATGTAGCCAAAGTTACCTGAGCATCTCCAGTGGGTTGGTCTCATGGACCTGAATGCCACATTTAGGACAGTCATTGCTCTCCTCAAAGTGCTGCACAATACAGCTCTTACAGACTGCAAAAGAAATATATTCAAAATGAGCTTCTGCTCTAGGTTAAGGCAGGTAAACCCATCTTTTAAAAGGTCATTCAGAATAAAAGAGAGAGAGGCAGAGAAATGAGCTGTTCATCTGTGAAACCATCATTTTGCCTTGTCATTGAGGTTTTTTTGGGGGCAGCATGTTGGCTTGCCTTGTTTCGAGCTGGTATTTCAGCTTTCTAAGCCACTGACAATCACCAGGTTGTCACGATCTGCTGCACACTCTCAAACCGCCCAAACTAGTCTCATGTTGAAAAAGGGGAAGCCTCCAAATCTCTCTATGAAAAAACTGAAATCCTGCAGTTTGAACTTCAGACTTTGTCGGCGTTTTAGTGCCGACATCGGTTCCGATGCTTCACAGCTCATTTGCCTCATTCACCTTGCTCTACAATTTCACATCCACTTCAAATAGTCTGTCAAAGTAGAATTTTACTGGAACTATGGTAGCTGTAATTCTGGGTTTGAAAAACAGGAACAGCAGGAAGTGACACTGTGTTTGAAGCTTCTAGCTTTCTGTAGGAGTCTCTGCTCTAACACTTGCAGCTGGGTACATTTGCTCGCATCAGTGGTAACTTACTTATTAATTAAGTCTGACATGAGCATGACACCAAGGCGGATCAACAGTTTGAACATCTGTACTTTTCTTCATTTCACACCTGTCATACACAGCAGCTGTACTTTGACTGAGCCCTGCCCTGCTTCTTTACGGCTCTTTAAAGTTTGGTCAGGGTTACGTGTAACCTTAGATCGGTCTGGGTTTGGTCCCACTACCTCGATGGATTTTCACCCCTACTGTCACCTCTGTGTGTTGCTGCGTGATATTTTGACTCACATGTGTGCAGGCACTCGGTGACTGTGGTCGGTTTAATCAGGTAACCTCGACACAGGTAGCAGGTGATGAAATGGTTAAAGTCTCTGACCAAGTGCTTCCTTCCCGTACCGGACATGTTTGGAGGGCTTTCCCTGTTTTTGCCAACAGTGAGACACCAAACAGAAGATGGAAAATATCCCCTTGTAGCTTTAGAAGGCTCAGACGTCCATTTACAAGTGAGAAAAGGAAGACTTTTCCAGTTACAAATACTGCCTGCTGCACTTCAGATGTTTGTAGATGAATTGTGTGTAAAATCCACGGTGTCCAGGGTAGTACCTACAAGGTACCTACACCATCCACAACTGATATGAGATACGAGATCCTACTGTGTAAAATCCTGCTCCATTCTTGAATTTTGCAGTCAGTCCTTGTTTAGGAATAACTCCCACTGATATTTTATTCCATCTTCCATGAACCATATTACTCCAAATGAACAGAAAATACAAAAAGCTCGTCCAGATGATGTGATCCTGTTTCAGGCACAGAACTCCCACAGAGCGGGCGTCACGTCTTCCTCCCTGACTTTGGTAAAGTGACCTTTTTAATCCATGGAGCTTCCCAGGTGAGCTACAGAGAGTTCAGAGTCTTCTGCATAATCAGATTGTTCACCATTGGTGGCGTCGCTGTGGTCTTTACTCTTGACGCGGACAGCGTAATGATCCTTTAAGTCATGATGAAGTAACCTAAAGAAAATCAAAAACAAAAATTAATGTTGGGGGGGAAATGTGTCGATGGATTTGAAAATAGTGCTGTGCAAAAGTTTTAGGCAACTTTTTTAAATCATGCAAATTCAATCTGCAGAAGGACAGCGAGCCCGATTATGCAGTCAGAATCATGAAAAAGGACCTTCAGAGACGTCAAGAACCAGCAGTCCTGCAACGGATGGGACAGTGGAGCTCTGATTAGAAACCGGATTGACTTTAGGAAAGCCTAAAAGAAGAAGAACAGTTTTAGTGCTGTAAACTTTTCCAGAAATCTCCACCCATATACATCGTAAGAGGAAAGAGCTTGATGGCTTTAACAGACATCTTCAAAAATTCTAAACAAAATAAAGATAATATTAAAATAACCCAAATTAAATACTTTCAAAGGACGAATCTTCACACAAGATACAACGCAATACCTAAAGCGGTTGAAATAAAAGCAGCTGGACTTCTTTTTGGTTTGTGAAGACGCTCTACCTCTCATCCAAGAGTCCTTCCATCTTCACAAACAAAAGAGAAGCGATGCTGCCTTTATCTTCATTTCAAGCCCTCAAGACTAATAAAGACCAGGATGACTGAGAACCTGCACAAACACAATAAAACGATGTATGAAAGGAACTGAGCACCTTGTGAAAGCTAGTTGCTAGGCCTTAAATCAGCCTTCAGTTATTCTACACACAGTTCCTAACTGTGAATTTAACCAGTTGGTTTCTCACCCACCAAAGGGTTAGGGTTTGGTCTAACCTTACATCTTATCCTGTGTTTTGAAGAAATTCAAAAGGAAAAATAGATTTCCTTTTTTCTATTTGATGGTTATGTTCACTTGACATACAGTTCTACCACATTACTCCTCCAGTTAACCCTGTGCAAGTGGTTTTTGGCCCTTGAGGGTCTGTTTACACTTTTCTTTTGTTGGTTTCCTCTGTCTGCCTCATTTGGTGTCAGGGCTCTGTGTGCGGCAGGTGGAGGTGAGGATCCAAAAGCAGGACTCGTGAAGCCAAATGGCAACAGAAAACCACAGCTTTATTGCTGGCAAAGCACAAAACATGAACAGAACAACAAACACTGAGAACCGGCAACACACAGGCATGATCTGATGGTACAACACAACAGAGCGCACAGGAACACACAGGGCTTATATACACAGGGAGGTAATCAGGGAATGAGAAACAGGAGGGAGACACAGCTGGGAGAAATTGGACTAACGAGACAGGGGAGCAGTAGAACTGAACACACTCACATGAGACACAGACCTTCACAATAAAACAGGAAACAAGAACCCACTAAACAAAGACGCAGACAGAATATAACACATGCAACTCAAACAATACATGAAACAACAAATCCTTAAACACGGATAAACAGAAACAAGAAACTAATAATAATAATCTATCATCACCACCACAAGCACTACAAGAGAATAAGAAAACAATCCATAATGCAAAAACACACCAAAATAACTGAAACACAGATTCATCATAAAAGCCAACAAAGCACCAGAGAAACATAAAGAACAATCCATCATTGAAAAAAACCCCAAACCATAACAACTCAAAATGCTGGGTCAAACTGACCCAGAACCGTGACATTTGGTATTTAGAATTTACAATGCTCAGTATCTATGACATATGACACAAATGACACCTGACATTTGAGAAGCAGCCATCATTTGTTTTCAGTTCCTTCTATAGAAAATGAGAAGTTTTTTTTAATCTGGTAGCTACGAAGTTCCCCATACAGTAAACTAACCCCACTTTATTAGGGCTGAGTGTTTAAGAGAAGCCTGTTGTGTGTTGACTGTTGACGGAACATGTGACTCAAAATGTGACTCAAAATGCGGTGAAAACGAAAAACCTCACCAAAGGTGAATAATCTTAAATTGGTTTTATGGGACTAATAGCTTCACCTTACTTTTGTCCTTGTGAGTCATTTCTCATTGGTCTTCAACGAGATGCGAGTCAGAAAAACACGATTAAGTCACAGTTTCTGATAAGTTCATAAATCAGTATTATAACGCATACATACAGATATCAGTACAAGCAGTAACTTAAGTATTCCCACACTTTAACCTTTATAACTACCTCTAACCATAAACCTTGAAATGTTTCTTCTTTCGTCTGTACTTTGCCATAATCCCCTGAGGTTTAAGTCATCACTGATGATGATCATAACCCTACGTAATAAGAATAGTATGTAACGATTCTCAAGTTATTCTCAAAGCTTGACATTGATGGGACAAATAGGGTTAGGGCTCGGGTTTGGGGCTCGGGGTTGGGTACCACCTGAAAGCTAGCCTAATGATTAACTCTAACTCTGACCCCTCATCTTCTCTGCCCTAACCAGCTTTCGATGAGGCTCATGTGGTGCTGCTTTTCAAACACCCACAGAGCCTGGAGTGGAGCTCTTCTGCCTCATCTGGATCTTTAATCAATGTTTCCTGTTTTCTGTTGTTTCTCCCTTGCACAACACCATGTAAGCAGCCTCGAGTGACCTGCTGGCCTCTACGTGGCTGTTTCTTTATTACAAACTATTTTAAGTCAGTAGACTGAAAGAGGGACAGTCAGCAATATCCAGTCATTTCCAAACCATGTCTACAGTTGAGGATAGGTTCACATCTGGCTCTTTTGATAGATTTTGTCCCAATTTGCGTATCCAAATGAGAAAGCTTATGATAGTAGAACTGTTAGGCTAAAATGCAAGCATGGGACTTTACTAGAAAAGCACAAACTTCTAGTTCAGCTGCCATGTTGTATTTGCACACTTAATAATGAATGTGGTTATCATTAACTAACAGTGACGTGATCATTCACCCAGCAGGACAGCTCTGACCTACATGCATCCATTTCTACTGCACTACCCCAACTATGAATAGCTAACCTCTCCAACTTGCCCCCATTCCATCCCCATTTTGATGGATCTGGATGAATTTTGGCTTGCCTGCTTCAAATATAGACACCGAGCTGCATATTAATCATGTGGTGTCACCACAAAAACCCACTCTGAAGTTTCATGTTTACTGTGGATACCCCCTTTTATAAACAACTGATGGGTGTCAGTGCTGTGATTACAGTAAATGGCTGGTAAATCTCTCTGGATGTGAAATTAATCAGCATTTTCATGTCAGATTCATTCCCTTCGTTAACCACACAACAGCCACACAACATTTAAACAAAAATTATCATACAAATTACTGCATGAACTGTTTGCTTTGTGTGGGGAGGCTGTAGATATTTACCATATCCAGCACTCTTGTTCTTTCTGTGATGTTTGCTATAAATTCACCTGATACATAATAACTGTCAGAGTTCAAGCGATTTTTGGTGAGGATAATAATGTTCAGGTGATGATTTGAGTTCAGACATAACTCCACGAAGGGTGGGATGGGTTTGTGCCAATTTAGAGGTATTACAGGAGACATGTGGCATATGAATGTGGCTGGAAAGCAAATGCTGATCAGCCACATTATTAAAACCATTCACTGGTTTTAATAATGTTGTTGTTGTTGTTTTACAGTACAAGGTTGGACATCAACACCAACAATCCAGCAGCACCTGCTTCGCCTCACCTGGACCACGAGCACCGCCCCACACTGCAAAAAGCTGCTCAAAGACAATGAGCTACCCTTGCACTGAAACACTCCCACTCTGTATCCAGTAGTCAATAGAGCACTCATGAGAGTCCCACACCAGAACCCGTGTGTCCCAAAGAACTCCAGGTTGAGAGTCCTGACAGGTCAGAGCTGTTTGGCGGTACTAGTGGGACCTGCACAGGATTAAACAGCTGGTTTTAATATCGTGACTGACTGCTCTGTGGGGTGGCTGTAGCTCAGGTGATAGAGCAGGTCACCTACTAACCGGAAGGTTGGTGGTTTGAGCCCAGTCTGCATGCCAAATATCCTGGGACAAGATACTAACCCCATGTTGCTCTCCGATGCATCCATCAGCGCGCGACTGTTAGATAGGAAGCACTTAGAAACAGCATAGAAAAAAAAGTGCTTGTGCAAATGGGTGAATGTACAAGTTGTGTGAAGTGCTTGTTGTGCTCAGAGTAGAAAAGCGTGATATAAGAACCAGCCCATTTACCATCTAATTATGCCACATTTGTGTACAAGCATAGACGATATGGATGCAGCTTACTGACCAAGCCGACACCTGAGCCAATCTCACCTTTGGCTCAAAGACGGACGCAGTGAGCGTTTGAGCGCAAACTTTGGGCCCACCACCTGCACACACCAGGCTGTATCACACGATGTTACATGCGGGCTGTGCTGCAGGGTCAGAACTGCAAAGAGAAACAACTGGACGACGTTTAGGAAGACGGTGACTCCTCGTCATCCCGGGTGCACTTTACCCTCACGCCGCTTCCTTCAGTTTGGAACCCGGACACACGGGCTGCACGCTCAGGTGCTGCGTGTACGTCAGGTGTGCGTGCAGTGCTGGACTGAGGGAGCCCACTCGCCGCACGGACAAAGTCCACGGAGGAAACAGCGTGTACTCCACTCCACGCTCATCAGCGCGTCTCGCTTTTTGCTAGAAAAATCTCAAGTGCGCAGCTTAGAAATCCACCCGACGAGATTAGGAGCGCGCGCACGCGCACAGAGACGCGCGAGCGTTATTTATTCACACACAGAATCTGCTTATCTCATCGTTACGGCGCGTCACGGTCTACGTCACATTTGTCAAAACAACATCAATGGACGACACGCGCACATTGCAGCGACACAGTGGGACGTGTGACGCACGCGCGAACGCTCGCGCGAGCGCGTCGCAGCTTCTGCTCGGCGATTGCACACCTACGGTGCGCGGATCGCAGCGACGATAAAAGTTACGGAGATTCGTGTCACGGCCTTAAACGAGGAGCGCCAGGCATACATTTGCGTGAACATACCGCGATCCCCGCATGTGTGCGCGACGCACTTTGCGTTAGTGGGGAGGGGGGGAGCAGGGGAGAGAAGGGGGAGGGAGGGAGGGACAGCCAGTAGCGTCAAAGTTTGGCTGAAACGTAACGCGACCGACGGCGGCTGATGGATTCTCCGTCCGCGCACAAATAATGAGCAGCAATAAGACATTACTCACCTCCGCGCTCACTTTCCCGTCGTCCCCGGAGTTACGGATGCCGCTGCTGGACAGGAATGTCCACCGTGACGCTGTCCGGTCCTCCGGTACGGTCTGCTCCGTAAACTGGGTGAGCAGAGAAACACGGAACTGGTCGGCTCGGATCTGCCCCAGTCCGCCCAGCAGAGAGGCAGGCAGGCAGCAGAGAGCAGCGGTGGGCGGGGAACCACCAGGCGAGCAGGCAGGGCTCGGAAACTGAAAGCAGTTGTATAACTGAGTGGCTATTGGCCCACAACACGCACATGCACACACCGAGCCGCGGTGTGTAGCGATCAACGCCGCTACTCACTTTGTTCAGTTGGCCAGACCCGAGCGAGCGATGTGACTGCAGAGTTTATGCGTTAGAGAAAGAAACGTCCTGAAATCAGATCAGACACGTGCAGGTGTGTCCTGCCACAGAAAAACTGTTTGCTCCTCATTCTTAAGGCAATATTTCTCACAACTTAATTATAAACGAAATCCCAGTTATTAATTAACTCGGGTTATACCATAGACTGTATATAATAGATGGCCATATTCCCCTGTCAGTTTTTTTTTTTTAATCCTCAACAGTTCTGGCATTTTGTGATAACTTGTAGTTTGGTGTGTTCGGGCTTCATCAGCACTCTGTTCTGGAAAGATAATAAGTTTGGGTAAATATACAGTCTCATTGAAGAAGGAACAGCTGTCATCTGAATCAAGCAGGGAGACTACGGTCTCATGGTGTCTGTTTGACATGTTGAGGAGCAATCGTTGAAGTGTAAAGGACACACATAAAACACACACACATATACACAGTGACATTTTATGCCTTCTCCAGCATACTGTATATGTTATGGCCACAAGTTTGCATCATGGTGCTGATCCAGAATTCTATTATTAGTATTATTATAGTTTATTATTATTATTATTATTATTATTATTATTATAGTATTTTTATTCCTAGTTTTATAATAAAAAAGTAATAAATATTAAATAATAGATTTATGATGATTCAGTTTGTTTGTTTATCCATTCACCGCTCAGTTCGTTCTCGCTCTGTCGTCAAGGGCAAGCACTGGTTAATGGTCATTATCACTGACCAGCATCTTCAAGTGGCCAAGAACCTGCTGGTGCAGGATGTGCACTACTTTGTGGCTCAGAGTTATGCATTAAAAGAAGGCTTTTCATGATGTACAAATCCCTGTTACTTACTTCGGTCAACTAAAATAATTATTTGCCGTCCAAAGAAAAAATATTTAAACAACCAAGACTGCCACAGGCTGTGTGTTGCATTTGCAATAGGCCAAGATTATTTATGGTTAGTTATATGGAAAGCAGCCGGCACATTAAGCAAAGCATTTTCAGTGTTGATGCAGCTCAACTCAACAGGTTTAGAGGAAATGTGGGTCTGATTCCAAATTGTAGATTGTGGCTTATTCCAAAGAAGGACGTGTCACATACTGCGCAATTTTCCCATTCCAAAGAGGAGCAAAATAAACATTTCAGCTATAGAAAAACCATATTGCACCAAACAAGTTCTAAATTATGGATAAGGCCCTTGACTTATCATGACTATGTTGTCCAGCTCTTCTGGGGAGATACCAAAGTTTCCCCAGTGTAAGCACAGAGATATAATTGGTCCATCATCCCCTCGGTGTTAATTAGACATCCTGGTCAGACGCCCCAACCACGTGAACTGGCATGTTTGGACTGGGAGGAGCAACTCTAAAAGCTAGTCACCCTTTGGAGGAAGCTCACTTCTTGTATTTGTATTGTATGCATTTGTTTGTTTTGGCAAATCAACCAGTTAATCGAGAACATCTTCTTTCACCAGAACAGACCAGCACAGCGTCTGCAGAACTGCATAAATGAGCAGGATGTATAAAAAGTTTTCTTCGTCTTTGACAGCTACTGTTTAAATCAGATGCTAAAAATGCTCTGACGACAGTCTGAACAATAATGCAGGTGTAAGTGTGTGTTTCCCACAGGATTTGATTCTGTTTTGGCAGCAGTGGGTGTGGGAGGAGCAGGGCATTCCCATGCAGGTGTATCCAAGTGCATGGATACATGTTTCCGTTCTTTACACATGGAGAAACGGCCTGACCCATCCATTTTCTGTTGTAGTCCTGATAAACTTGCCTTCTGCAGGCTCCAGTTAGAGTGGCCCTCCAGCGTACTACTGATCTCTGGAGCATAAAAAAATACATTAAGCAGCTGCAGTCCAAGATGGTGCAATTGAATTCCATCCCAACACGGGAGGAGAATCTCCCTGGAGAGCCACAACAGAGACTGGTACACCAGCTGCTGGGGAAACACAAAACAGGGCAGGCCAGGGCCAGAATATGGGGCTAGAATAAAGAGGCTGTCCACCAATAAATCAATCAAAGTCATTCCTTTGGATAGGCAAAAAAAAAAAAAAAAGTCAGCGCTGATACCTGGGCTCACCCAGATGAAGTCTGTGTGTGGGGAAACTTTTAATGCTGCTAATTTTTACTATTCCAGGCAATCTTCAATAGCCATGATGCAGACAGGACCCAGGATGATGGAAACATCAAAATTTGCAGGTATTTGTTAACTCATTCATTCAGTGAAAACCCAAATGGCTGACAAACCTTGCTCTAGGCTCTCGAGCTAATAAATACAGACCTCTGTAGTTTGATACTGCTGAAGCATCAGTGACAAAGACTTTGTTCAGATCTCTTAGAATGGCAGCATTTGAAACTAGTTTGAGAATGAATTGGATTGTGATATCTGCTACAGACACTTATGTCATTAATTCATCAGTTAGTGCAGTGCTTCCTAACCTTCTTCATCTGAAGTACCCCCACAGGCCTGTTCAATAGACTCAAGTACTCCTTCATCATTTCTACTTCCCGTACTCAAATATGTTCATTAGGATTGATGCTTAACTGAATCTTAGTCAAAGGAGCTTGCAAAGAAAAGCGTCTGGACTTCGCCTGAGCCAAGGTGTGAAACTGTTTCACACCCAGTTTCACACCTTGACTCAGGCGATTAGAGGATCATCAGGGGTCCTTTTGTCCCTCTGTGGGGGGAAACTCCCACTAGGTTTAAATCTGGGACTCCCCACCATTTGACCTTAGAACTGAAGAAGCTTCTTGGATGAGAGGTGAAACGTCTTCAAGCAACTTAAAGAAGCCCAGACGCTTTTCTTTCCAAGCTCCTTTGACTACGATGACCTGGATGACTGAGAACCTTCACAGACACTTAACTGAATCTTACTTAACATTATACAAAAGTGGAAACTGATAAAATGATTTTTCTCCAGCATAACAGTTTTTACTGCTCAGCTGTAAAAGGCTGGGGTCTTTAGGTGGTTGCCCGTATGTGTGAAAGCGATAACTCGATTCTGAGGCAATGTGTGAGCTTCAAATTGATATCATAGATGTATCTGCTAAAAATCTTGGACAAATTTGAATCTCAGTGACCTCGATCAAGGTAAGAGGTCAAATTTTCTGAAAGTTTTGGGGATAATTCAAGATGAATTAAATTAATACCATAGGTGCATCTACTAAAAACTTTCATCAAGACTAAACTAGTCATGTAGGAGGAGTTCAGGAACAAACATGCAATTCAATTCAATTCAATTTTATTTATATGGCGCCAAATCACAACAAAAGTCGCCTCAAGGCGCTTGCAGATATACATGTGCTACAATCATTATACAAAATACTGATACAGTAAATCTGTTCATTGTTTTAGTGCAGTCATAAATATGGCTAACACAAAACACTCCAGGACACTCAAATTCACCTCAGGTACCCTCTGGGAACCACTGGCCTCAGGTTCTTTTTATTGACTCACACATGAGTAAGTTAGTGGACCGGCCATAATGTCAGTGTTTGATTTATGACTGCAAAATTAATCTTAAAAGAAGAAGAATATCTTAGATTTTCCCATGTTTGCTTTTAGTACACTTGTTGGTTCAGCACTGACTTACACAAGGGGCCGCAGGAGGGGAAACAAAAAGTCTTCAGTGACATCTCCCTGTGGGATATGACCTCCTGTTTTGGGAAGTGGAATGTATCACCATGGAAACAAAGTTCCCAGTCCTGCAGAGGGAGAGTTGTTGAGATGGTAAAATTCCAAAAATGAAAATGCTGCCTTTCCAGCCCCCCCTAAAAAAAAGAGTGTTTCTCTTTCTTGCAGGAGATTGTTTTGGGAATCTCATCCCAGAGGTGGAGGCTGTTCTTATTAAAGTGCACCCAGACTTCATGCATTAGTTCCTGCCAGGACAGACCTGACAAAATGAAAATGACACATGAACAGCAAAGGCTTTCCAGCCTCTTGTTACTATAATGAGGCAACAATAAAACCAGCACCCCTATTAATGATCATCATGATTCTGGCTCCCAGAAGGCCGGTGAGTTACAAGACAGATAATGAAACTTGAGACAAGCAGCGTTTCAGTCGTGGGAAGTTAAAGCTGGAAATGTTGACTTAACTTTAAGGCTTCCATTAGACTGGAGTATACTGGAGGTTTGGGGATAAAGGTGAATAAAACAATATTCAGGGATTTAATTTATGTTTTAAATTGTGTTTTACGTCTTTTAAATGTTTCTAGTGCACAGTATAATAATACTAATGCAAATATATCAGAAGTATGTAAAACCCATGGTCCAGTGCAACTGATGGTAAAAAATTACATGCTCTCATTAGACCAATTATTGCCAAGTGTAAGAATGTGTGTGTTGAAGTTTATGTCAGTTCAAATTAGGGCAAAAGCTTGAACATAAGAAAGCGAGTAAGAGAGAGACAATTAAAGAGAAAACAGGAGGGAGGCTGACAGGTCAGAAGAATAAGGTACAGAAGGAAAACGATACAGGGATAAGAAACTGAGACGGCTGCAAACGAATAAAAGAGCTGGAGAAGATACAAAATGATGGAGATGGAAGAGAATGATTCTGTGTTGAATTTAAGATAACGAAAGAACAGAATGAGAAGCAGC